ATTCACTTCACTGAGCTAAACTCATTTGGAATCCTGGCTATAGAGGCTAAGCTCTCTTGTTGACTTGAGTGAAAATTTACCGAGCACAAAGTGTAAGTAAACCCAGACAATCCCCTCGAAACAGCCCGCTGAGATAAACGATCTCATCAGGGTACGCTGGGGAAACTGTTGGGGAAACTTTTTGCAAGGCACAACCCATTCTCCCCCCCCCCTGAGATTCTCCCTCTGGTACAAACCCTCTCCCCTCCAAGATTCCACTCATTATCTTCATGAACACTCCAACCCACCATTTCCACCAGCTTTTTTCCCCAATAAATCCTTTTTTCGGAAAACCTGTCGAAAATGGGGAATATAGCGCATCTGAAAAAGTAGGAAACCGAGAAAAGTCAACAAACAAAAACATTTGTCCCAAAGGCAAGTACGACCCACGTAGCAGGGGATTCCCAAGGTGTGACTTGCCCTGCTCATTCCCGTCATGCGAGTCAGCAGTCCTGACTGTTGGTACAAATTACTTCTACTTAGCGTCCTCAGGAAGTTTCTTTGTGGCAGTTAAGTTATTATGACCAGCTTAGTTCAGCGACATTTACCATGCAAACAGCAAAGCGAACGTACAAAATGAAGCGATACGTAACAAACTGGAGGCCGCCCTTCATATAAGCACAGACTCGCATCACGGCTGACGTTAGGCAGCGTTACAACAAAAGCCAAACTGTTGCAAAGCGTTAGACGCACACACACACAAAAGTAATCGCGATTTAAAAGTCGAATAAGAAAAAGTATTGATAGTTATTGTGATATCAGTGGAAAGTAGCCTGAAACTGTCAGAGTTACAGAAATGAGCAATAGGTAGATGAAAACGGTCTGGAATTACAGTCTCAATGGAAATTCCCTCACCACATGAGGCAGAGAGTGATTCGCCAGCACTGCCGCGCGCAGTCGCGTAGCGGTCATAACTTATAAGAATGTTGGGGCGAAGACTTCATCTCTCACATCAAACGATTGACCATAAACAATAGGCTTGCAAGTACACAAAGGGCAGCACACTAGTGTCGTCTTTCAACCGCAACGCGACCGCACGCCGCCACAGCAGAAGGCCTCACACCCCCTCTTTCGTCTGGTAATAGCCGAAGTAGAAGAATCTTTGCAGAAAAACGTGAGTATTCGGGAAGAGCACGAACTTCCAATTACATGAGATACTTCAAGAGTAACAAAGTCAAGACACAAAACAAAAACAGTGAGTACCTTTCTTGTCGCTTGTCGTATCCTCAATGGTGTCCTTTGAGCCTCGCGGTGAATCTTCTTCTGCTGTTGAAAGACTGATCCGTCGCTCACGTTCATTCACTGCAAATGTTCATATGTACCGAACGTTGATGTCGTTTATTAATTAGGCGCAGTTCGGGTTGGTAGGGGGGGAGCACCAACACGTGTTAGTGGACATGAACTGCCAAGGAATTTAGCAAAAGTGCGAAATGCCTCTTGTTGAACTGAACTGCGCCTATTAATCGATACAGATTTATGGACTCTATTTACTGAATAGGCTCTGCTTTGATGATGGCATATTGAACGGTGTGGTTAAAGAGAGGAAGGTCTCACCGCTCTTAGTCTGTGCGCTGAAGAGCGAGTGCCCAAGGAGTTAGTTGTAAGCGCCGCAGACACTACGGAGTACTTTAGATAGTTGCCGGTCCAGGAAGAAAGAAGTGAGAGATGCACAAACGTTCCGCCCTCGGTTTCTTACGCAGAGGCTTTCATGCTTTAGCTGAACCACAAAAATCTATCGCCATTGTGCCTATACTTATGCCCGTCGACACTCCCACTCCAACGCCGAGATATGGACTGCAATAGGCTCGAACAGTTTTTGTATAGTGTGTATTCTAGATTGGTTATTGATTTCAAGTGTAACTGAAGAGTATTCACCATCGCTGTACGCTCTCAAGAGTGAAAGCAACTCAGGCGATCAGGGAGTTTTTCAGCGCAGCTCGGCGACGGAAAAGGGGGGGGAAGCATTTTGCACTTTTGCTACTTCCCATCAACGTGTCCAGCCATCTAGAGAGCTATTTCATGAGCTTACAAGAGTTGACGGTTTTATCATGGTAGCTCGACGAGCTTGCTCCAGCTTCACAAGAGTTCACAGGTTTCACCAGAGTGAGACTTGTAAACCGGAACTAGTGGAGCAGGGAAAGTGCAAAATGCCCCTCGTCGCCGAACGTCGCCGAATTTTTCCGACAAGGAATGGGTGGTAGGTCGGAAAGGTCATACGAAGTCTAATGTGTACCATTCGCATGTTTTTCACGGTTGAAAAGGGAAGTGTTTGCATCCTCGTCTCGTGGCCAACGTTGTAAGTGGCCCTGAAAAGGGGTGCGCAGGAGCCTGTAGCGCACACAGCAAGGGTTTTTGCAACAATCGAATGTGGAATGCCTGTTATAGGGATCAGGCCTACCCAAATCAGAGGTCCGAAACTGCGAAAAACCGAAATAATCATGGGGAAACATCCTTTTAGGTCGATGGAACTATCCGCTGAGACGTTTCCCTATGGACAATGAATTATTTCGCTGAATCGCGATCTTTGAACGCACTTGACGTCCATAACAATAAATATGATGCTCATTTTAGGCGGGCGGCCGTGCCATTTGACGCCGGTCTAGCGCCAGACGCAATAAAGTCCTAGAAACCAATGACCAGAAGAGTCGTTGAGAGTCTTTCAGAACGACTCCATATCGTTCCCCCCAATTCGCGGTTGAATTCAGCTTCCTGGCCATGCCGATGTGTTTCTAAAATGTACACAGAGGTAGCATTTTCGAAAAACAAATGCAAAACAACGACTTGACCACCGGTCGGAACCCCTCAACTCCCAGACATTAGTTGGGCATGAATCTACTTGGCCATCGAATCAAATCCCAGCTTCCTTCACATCTCATTCTCATTATTGTTGTCTTGATGTGATCAGATCGAGAAATCCCCATATCTTTTTTTTGGCTAATCGTCAGCAGGAAGAAAGGTTGGAAGGAACAGGTTGGAAGGAAAATTCAAAGGTAAAGAACGCGATCATTCATGTCACAGATAGTGGATCAGGGGCTCCCACATAGACGATAAAATGCTGAGTAACTCGATAAAGAGGAAGAAGCACCAAATAAAAACATGCCAACCCTGGATAGAACCCCATTCCGATCCCAGCTTGCACGTACCCAGTTAACTCCACCTCCAACACTACACTCTCATCCGCCCAGCTGATCCCCCGATAAGAGCTCTACAACC